ATTTAGTAAATTCCTTTTTAGGAAAAAAATCTGCTTGACAAATATGAGGGAGTTGGACTTTGCTTATCCTGAGAACCTATTTGTAACAATGCTTCTTCCTGTTGAAACATGTCTCTGGATGTGCATTAGATGATGTTGAAAGTGTGACAGAAAAATAACCAGAGTTATGAGTTAAATAGGACTGAACCCGCAAGGGCAAGGAGAAAATGTAACCAATAACCATGACACCCAGGGAGCCTTGGATTTAGACACAGGAAGGCCTGGTGATGGCCGAAGGGGGAGATTTGGGCAGTAATGCCACAGGACACACGGAAGTAGATGGCCATGAAAGATTATCTCCGACACACAGTTAAACTTCAAGGAGCGAGATGGTCTCCTTCCTACATTTTTTTGAGAGGAGAAGACAAACAGTTGAGAACAATGTGCTTCCCAAAGATTCCTAACTCTCTGACATGATGTATATTCCAAATACCTAGAAGAACCATCTGCCTTTGGAAACAGGAAATAGAAATAAAAATACAGGATTGGTTGTCCCTCACCTCAAGAACAATCTTCACACTGCCCTTATCCTTCCTTGGAAAAGTGTTGAAACCAGGCCAGCTGGGCCCAGTTCAAGTACGTGCTCAGTAATATTAACAAAAATATCAACTTTGCAATATACAAAGTTCTCCTCCCCCCCTTAATCACTATCTCATTTAAGCCACACAACAAACCCATGTGGCATCATTGTCCCTATTTGGTAGATGAGAAAACAGGCTCAGTGGAATCCCACCAGCTTATGTTCTTTGGATCGTAAGATCATTATATTAGTTTTCTATTGCTGTGTAACTCATATCACACACTTTGCAGCTTAAAACAGCACTAATTTAAGTCACAGTTCTGTAGATCAGAAGTCTGGATAGGCTCGAGTAGATTCTCTGCTTAGGGTCTCAAAGGCTGTAATGGAGGTGCTGGTCAGGGTGGGCTCCTGTTTGGAAACTCTGGGCAAAAATCCACTCTCAGGAACACTGAGTCATCAGATGAATTCAGGTCTGTGAGGCTTCAGGGCTGAGGTCCTCATTTCCATGCTGGACATTGGCTTGGGTCGCTCTCAGTGCCAGAAAACACTCTCTAGTCCTCACACATGGTCCTTTCCATCTTCAAGCCAGAGACTGTGCACCATGTTCATGTTTCAAATCCCTCTGACTTCTCCTTCTATGTCCAGCTTGAGAAAACTCTAAAGGACTTGCATGATTATATTAGGCTCACGCACATAAGCTCTTTTGGACAATATAACATATTATTATCACAGGAAGTATTTCATCATACAGTGTCCACCAGTAAGGGCACAGATCATTGAGGATTATTCTTAGAATTCTGCCTGCCACATTCTCAGGTTGGGAAGAGGAAGAGGAAGAGAGAAGAAATGACCAGTCTTTGAGGACACTTAGGTTTGGGTTGGCTTGCTGACGGAGTAAGCAGAGAGTTCACGGAGGAGAATTAGCAGAAGAGAAGGTCAAGAAAAAAAAAGGGAGAGAGAGAGAGGAAAGAAATAGCCGAGTCTTCCCTAAAACAGTTTTAAGAGCTCAATCCCCCATGAGCATAGGGCCTGTTAAGGCCCAATGTCTCTGCTGACCAACAAATGTGACGTCACCAATGCCTTGACCTATGGGCTTAGCATTTCCTGTCCTGTAAGGAAAGAGATAGACAGAGAGGTGGAGAGGAAAAAATGCTCCTCTGTCCTTTTTAAAAAAATTTTTTTAATGTTTTATTTATTTCTAGGAGAGAGAGAGCTAGAGAGACAGCGTGAGCAGGGGAGGGTCAGAGAGAGAGGGAGTCACAGACTGAAACAGGCTCTAGGCTCTGAGCTGGCAGTCAGCACAGAGCCCGACGCAGAGCTCGAACCCACGAACCGCGAGATCATGACCTAAGCGAAAGTCGGACACTTAACCGACTAAGCCACCCAGGTGCCCCAATGCTCCTCTGTTCTTACCAGGGGAACCAAAACTTTCAAAACCACATTTCTTCTATAATCTTTTTCACCTGGACATGTATCTTTATGTTCAGGATCCTCTAGAGATGGGTTTGCTCTTTGCACTTCTTCAAAAGCCATTGTTTGTCTACACTCCCGTGAATGGACATGTAGACTGTTTCCGAAATTTGTATCTTACAAGTCTGGGATGAACATCCCTAAACACATATATTTTCATACTTTTCCAAATGCAAATTACTTAAGGGTAATCTATATTTGAAACTTAAATGTGTGTAAGAAAATGCTCGCCAGGAACAAATTTCTCATTATTCTAATATTTCTCATCATATGTCAATACCAAATGCCTAACTGCTTACCAAAAATGAAACTGAAATATAGTAAAAGGACTATATTAAATTATAAAGTATAGTGGCGCCTAGAATTAGGCCCCACTTGAGACATTAAGGACACTGTCCTCCATGAGGCTTCCCTGACTCCCCAGGCCAGCCAGTTTCCACAAGGTGGAGTCAACCCAAATGTCCACTGATGGATGAATTGGGTAAACAAGATATGGTCTGTACACATTGCGAAACATTCATGAGACTTAAAAAGGAAGGGAATTCTGACACAGGCCACAGCATGGATGAACACTGAAGGTATTATGCTAAGTGAAGGAAGCCAGACACTGAACTACCATTATGACATGAATCAACTTATATCAGGTACCTTGAGAGGTCAGATTCATAGAGACTGGCTGTAGTATAATTCATAGTAGAATGGCAGTTACTAGGGGCTAGAGAGGGGAAGGAAGGGGAAGTCTTACCCCTACTGTTTCTCCTAAAGGCCTTCAATATTTCACTGTATTCCTCTCGCCCCAATTGCCTGTGGGTGTGCAATGCTTCTATTACTTCCATGCACGCTAATGCTCACCGCTGCTTTAACCAGCCTCCACACTGATATCTGAACTATGCCACTGTTCCCCTTTCCTTTCTTAGTTAACATAGAAACCAGTTCCTCAAGAAGCTCCCTGAGAAGCCTGAACTGTGAAAACAAGGTCAACTCTTTTTCTTCTCTCCTGAGGGAGGAAGGACACAGGAACTGGGAAGCTCCCTGCTAAGTGTGTTGCTCTATGCTGGGTTGGGAACGGGCCGGGCACAATCAAAAAATCCCACAAAGTTTCCTACTGTTCCAAGGGTGCTTTTTCTTCATTGAGTATTTGGTTCAGGTTGTTGGTGTGAACATTCACCTTCAGATGACTTAGGTAAATGCCTGGGACTGTGACCACTGAGCTATGTGGTAAGAGGATGTCTAGCATTTTAAGAAACTGTCCAACTGTCTTCCATAAGGGTGCCATTTTGCCTTCTCACTAGCCGGGAGTCAGAGCTCTTGTTGCTCTGCATCTTGGTCAGCATTTGGCATTGTCAGTTTTTCAGATTTTAGCCATTCTAATAGGTGTGTTGTGATGTCTCCTTGTTGTTTTAGTTTGCATTTCCCTGTTGATGAGTGATGTTGAGCAAGCTTATTTGCTATCTGTGTATCTTCTTGTGTTTGTGGTCCAGTGAGTTACTTGACTCTTGGTTGATATTTCCCTCAGTTTTAGAAAGTTCTCGGATGTAGGGGCACCTGGGTGGCTCAGTTGGTTAAGCGCCTAACTTCGGCTCAGGTCATGATCTCGCAGTTTGTGAGTTCAAGCCCCTCTTTGGACTCTGTGCTGACAGCTCAGAGCCTGGAGCCTGCTTTGGATTCTGTGTCTTCCTCTCTCTCAGCCCCTCCCCCACTTGTGCTCTGTCTCTCTCTCAAAAATAAGTAAACATTTAAAAAATGTTTTTAATAAAAAAACAAAGTTCTGAGATATTATCTCTTTGAGTATGTCTTCTCTCCTAGTATCTCTCTTCTTCTAGAAATACAATTACACAAAGGTGCCTGGGGTGGCTCAGTTGGTTATGTGTCCAACTCTTGATTTTGGCTCAGGTCATGATCTTGTGGTCATGAGGTGGAGCCCTGTGTCAGGCTCTACGCTGGGAGTGGAGCCTACTTAGGAATCTCCTTCTCTCCCTCTCCCTCTGCCCCTCCCCCTGCTCGCTTGCTCTCTTTCTCTCTCAAAAAAGGAATATAATTATACATACCTTAGGCCATTTGACTGTGTCCCCATGTGTCTCATGCTCTATTCTGTTATTTCCATTCTTTTTTCTCATAATGTTTCGATTTAGATATTTTCTACTTACCTTTCTGCAAGTTCACTACTCCTATCCTTTGCTATGTCTAGTTGCTTATTAATCTCGCTCAATGAGTTATTAATTGCAGGGTTTTATGTTTTAGTTCTAAAATGCCCATGTAATTTTTGTTATAAATCTGGATTCTCTGTTGAGGATTTTCAATTTTGACCATACTTATCTCTGTTTAAAAGAAATGTATTACATTAAGTTCCTCCTAATCCTCCTGTATGTGCAAACATATGGTATCTGTCCCTCTCTGCCTGACTTATTTTGCTCAGCATAACACCCTCAAGTTCCATCCATGTTGCTACAAATGGCCAGAACTCATTCTTTCTCATTGCCATGTAGTATTCCATTGTATAGATAAACCACATCTTCTTGATCCATTCGTCCGTTGATGGACATTTAGGCTCTTTCCATGATTTGGCTAATGTTGAGAGTGCTGCTATGAACACTGGGGTACAAGTGCCCCTGTGCATCAGCACTCCGGGATCCCTTGGGTAAATTCCTAGCAGTGCTATTGCTGGGTCATAGGGGAGTTCTATTGTTAATTTTTTGAGGAAACTCCACACTGTTTTCCAGACCGTCGGGGAGAAGAAGGGGAAAAATAGTGGGGGAGAGGGAGGGAGGCAAACCATGAGAAACTCTTGAATGCTGAGAACAAACTGAGAGCTGATGGGGGTGGGGGGAGGGGAAAGGGGGTGATGGGCATGGAGGAGGGCACTTGTGGGGATGAGCACTGGGTGTTATATAAAAACCAACTCGACAATAAACTATTTTTAAAAATAAAAATAAATAAAAGAAATGTATTACACATATTAGACTCGGTGCCCTTCTGGTTTGGGATGCTTGCAGGTTGAGATCTATTGCACGTTCCATGCAGGGTGCTCCCTCCCCATGAAAGCTATCTCTCCCAAGCAAAGTGAGGCCGGGGGAGAGTTTGCTCTGCCTTTCCTGCTCAGCCCTATAGCCTCACATGCCAGCCTCACACTCAGGAAATGGAAACTCTGCCAGTCATTGTGTTCTCCTCTAGGTCTAAATCTGTCAAGCCAACTCCTATGGCCATAAAACTGCTTCATTTCCTTTCCCTCAATAAGCCCTCTGCCTTGGCCAATCTTGTGCTCAGACTTGACAACACACTCGTGAAGTGAGTCTTGGCCCACGCAGATGGGGTTCTTTGCTCTTTAGCATGTAGTTCCATTTGTTTTGTCTTTTATTTTCATATCTCTCCAAGGTCTGGTACCAGGCTGACTCGGTTGGAATGTGACTCTTCCACTTATTGTGTGTGTGGTCTCTGCAAATTGTTTCATCTTTCTGTGCTTTAGGGTTTTCATCCAGAAAATGAATGTAATACCAGTACCTACTTCACACGGTGGTGGTGGTTCCTGTAGATGGAACATCTAGAGTTGTGCAAAGCTATCTACCTGTTAATCATGAAGGGAATGATGAGGATATAGCCCTCTCTTAGCTTTGAGAGGCCAAGCCAAAAGAATTCTATGAAAATGCTGCTTCACAGCTGGAGCTCTGAAATCCTCACCATTGCCCCAAAGAGTTACAGCATATTCAACGTCCACATAAAACCCTGGTCCCTCAGGCTAGATACCTGGTCCCTAAAGCATTTGTCTCTATCACCATGCTCAGGCACTGAGTATGAGTTCTCTCCTGGGACGCTGCTGTTCCTGCCACACTCTGGCCTCCATCAAAGCCCACTCAGCCCATCAGACAATTTTGTTTAAGTTTAAACCCCAGTGATGGGTAAGTTCATGTAGCTTGTCCATGTGGCTCTGTGGCCACCATACGAATACAAGGGTACAAACGTTTGTCCCAGAGACAGGATGCTGGCCAACCTCACTCCCTAGAAGCTCCCCTACAAAATTGGAAATTGGAGGAAAATGGGACTAGGGGAAGGTCCCACTCATCTAAGATGCTCTGTTACAGAGGAATGTGGTTACTCGGTCTGTGAATTTTGCTGGGGGCGTTCAGCATTTCAACAGCTTGCACAATATCCTGGAAAAGCACAGATACTAGAAACCCTCCAAGTAGTCCTCTTATGAAGGCGCCTGCAGCTCTCCAGCGATTAGGGCCACAGGTCTGGGCTTACACAAGTTGATGTACAGATAGCATGCGGCGCAACGATGGCTGCATGGTAAGAGCGAGCTAAGTGCTGGTTACCGTTGTCTCTATGCTCACCATCATCATTCCCCATGTGGACACCATGGGAAGGTGCACCAGTCTCACCATAGCCTCAGTCCTGCTGCCAAGGTGCCTGGAGTTTCAGGCCTGTGTCAGACACCAGTCATGTGTCCCCCATCCTCAGGGAACACACCTGCAGTCCTTAAGTCATGGAAGTCATTAAGGGCAGTTCACACATATTCCATTTCTCCTTCTTCAGGCTCTATGGTAGCATTGTAATTCCTTGTCTCCTTAATGTGGGCAATGAAACATGGCAGGAGTTGCTGTGTCACTTCCAGGTGGATGTTGGAAAAGGCCATGCCTGAATTGCTATAGTCGCTCATCGCTGCTGTGGTGATTATGAACCTATGTGTTGAGATGGAAAATCCATCAGCCAGGACCCTGAGAGATGGCAGTGAGCTGAGCCCCAGCATCGGACATTCAGTGTGAATGGAAACAAACCTTTATTGTGTCATGTCACCAAGATTTGGGGACTGTTTGTCCCTGTAACCTAAGGAGCCTACCTTGAATGACATGCCCCTTAACCAGGCTTAAAGTAAATACGGTGGCACCTCACACACACCTGGGATTGGGGAAAGGTGGAAATCAACCTTACATGCATCCTTCAAATCTCCACAAAGTGACCCTCTATGTCATCTCAAATAGGCATGAGTAATGGCCGCGTTCTCGTCGAACTTTCTATACACTCTCAAGTCTTCTTACAGTTTGTTCTTTGCATGTCTGCCTAGTCTCTCCAACTGCTAGCTCCTAGAAAGGAGTAAGTGTATATATTTTTACCTGATGGTCCAATGAACTTGTAATTGAGTTTCCTAATACCCCTTTGCCTCTGTTTCCTCATCTATAAACTTGTAGTAATAATAACAGTATTTAACTCAGACTTGTAGTGAGAATTTTATGAAATTAAATGAATCAATATATTTATACCCTGGTTATACCACTGTTAAAACAGTGCCTGCCACATAAAACCCACCATATGAGTGTTAGCTCTCATTTTATTATTCTTGCCGGGGGTACCCTGCTTCTGAAAATTACTCCTGGGAAATTGAGGGGGAAAGCCCTGATTTGTAGTGTTTGTCAATTTTCATGGTGTAAATGCTCCCACAGGACTGATTTCAGGCTATCAGCATGATGTCATTAAATACAGAATCAAGAGGAGATGGTCAAGGACACCTTCTACCACACAATACCATAGACAAGTGGCTTCAAGTGCGTGGATGATACATTAGGAAATGATATGCGTGAGTATTTAGCAGCTTTGTTTTTAATGGGAGTTATCTGATTTTAAGTTTATAGAATTTAATTTTTTAAATGTTTATTTATTTATTTTTGAGAGAGAGAGCACATGAGTGGAGAGGGACAGAGAGAGGGAGGGACAGAGGATCTGAGGCAGGCTCAGTGCTGACAGCACAGAGCCCGACGCAGGGCTCGAACCCACGAACCGTGAGATCGTGACGCGAGCCAAAGTTGGACACTCAACTGATTGAGCCACCCAGGCACCCCATCATTTAATTTTTAATGAGGGGCAAGTTTAACAAGTGGCTTGCAAAATTCCAGCTTGAGCCAGCTTCAGCACACTGAATATGTACTGCGTACCCCTCCCATACCCAAAATGGATAGTTGCAAACTCACTGGGCTCAGCTACACAACTGGACATCAGTCTCCAAATCCTCGCCAACTCCGAGCACTAAACAGCTTGCACCCATCTACTGAACTTGGCAACCTGGCTGACATCTCTCTCTTTTCCGTTGTTGCCTCCCACGTTAGAGATAGTGTACACTTTCCTACTGTAAACATTTAGAAAGGATGTTTTATTATGTTATTTTTGAAATTACTTGGCAACAATTCATTCATGTAATTTGTAATCAGCTCCCATCCCTCGCAGGTCAATCCCCATATTTAAGAGTTCTTGCAAAAAAAAATAAAAAAAAAAAACTATTAAGAAGAACTAGCATACGATGTTAACGCAGTCAAATATTTATAAACATTAAATATAACAACTTCTGAAGTTAATGTGATCGACATTTGCTAATCATTTACACATTCATTCATTTCTATTTTGAAATAACTTTGTATTCTTTTTCAGCAAATACACTGACTGGAATCTGGAATTCTTGGAATTATTTGTGTAAGACTTTGCATTCCCAGAGGTCCCAGCATTGTGCCTGTGGCTGTAGGAGGGAGATAAGTCAACGATGGACAGAGCCAGGATCTCCGCTCAAGGGATGTGGTGGACACTATACCATCAACCAAAGAAGGGAAAGTGGATGGGAGGAGGAACAGATTTAAGAAGGAACTGCACTCGGTGTGGACATGTTGAGTATTAGGTGCCCGCAGGTCATCTAGGGGGAGATGGATAATAGGCATCTGGAAATGTGGATTTGCAAGTAAGACCAGAGATCAGGGAGGAGACGCAGATATAGGAGTTGGCAACAGAAATGGGCGCTCCTGGGGCTGGAGGGACAAGGATCGAAGAGAGTCCCCAAGGGGGTACCTGTCATCAAGGAGAGGAGGGAGGAAGAGATATGAGCCTGCCATTGAAATGGCAAGGATTATGTTTATGAGTATCTCAAAATAAAAAAATTTAAATGAGGAAGTTCCTCATCTATCAAAAAAACAGATTTTGAGTGTTCTAGACAAGTGTATAAACTCAAGCTTCCCTCCCTCTCAAATTTCTTGGAATACCCAGGTGTGAAATAGATTCTCTAAAATAGAAGAGTGTGCACAAGTGACTATGAATGTCCCATGCTGCATCGCATGAGGGTAGGGTTGTGCCCTTGCTGACACCCACGGTGTGCCCAGGGCCCAGTGCCTGGTAATATTTGTCAGTCATATTTGTCAAATGATAAAATGTTGCTGGAGCTAAAGATATTGTTTCACTCATCCCAAAAGTTTTAAATTTTATCCTGATCTGGACTAAATTGTATTGAACACGTGCGAACGGAGTTTTTGATACGAAAGAGGACCTGGCTCTTGGGGACCCAGACCACCAACGCTTTGCTCGGAGGGCCACTAGATGGCGCTGCTTACCCGTACAGCGGAAGAAACCAGCTTCCCCTGAGCTAGTTTCCCAGCGTCATATTCAAATGTGACAAGTATGAACTGTATGGAATCATAGAGTGATTCTGTCATGCTATTTGTCTTTGTAAACACTCTGACTTTGTAAACACTCATTTGTCTTTGTAAACACTTTTTGGTGTAAACACCAAAAAGCGCTATCTCCAGATTGTGTCTAACACACTCAGAACATGCCCAACCATCAAACCCCTTCCTCACCTTGGGACCTTCTAAGGATTCCAGGAAAACAGTAGGAGCAAACGGGCTCCTCTTCCCTTCCAATAGCAGGCACCTACTCTTCTCTTCCTTCTTTCCCATCTACTTCCCTCTTCCTTGCAACCCGATTGCTCTAAACTAGCCAGAACCGTTGACCTGTGATTCCGGGGACCTACACCTTTCATTGGCTGCCTGCAGACCCCACCTGCTAACACCTGCCCTAACTCCGGAGGTCCTCATCAGACACCTGGAGCTGGAGTTCAGCTCCTTGTCTTCACCACGGGGCAGGGAGAGGCTCCCACCATCTCAAATGTTCTTTCAGATAAATATTGTTTGGCCAGTTGCCAAATGCAGTGTTTTATTTCAACCAGACCAGGGACTAAATAGGTTTTGAGGAGCTTGGAGTGAACACAGCCACCAATCCTAACAATCCTATCATTTAAGGAGCCGAAAATCTATAGGGGATGATTAACGGAGCTACAAAGGGATCGCAACTAGTTAAGGGGGATTGCATGTGGAGTGCCGCAATGAAGCTCTGACGCAAACACAGTGGGGCACAGGTGGTTTGTTCTTGCTGATAACGGAGGGCTGGAGGACGCCCTACAGAGGAAGTGACCTTGAGCTCAAAACACAAAGAGTTCACTCAGCTGAGGAGGTGGGAAGGCAATCATCGCGTGCTGCCGACTAAGAGGTCCACATAGCTTGAGTGTCGAGTGAGCAGGACATTGGCCGACCCGACGACTGGAAGGAAGAGCTGAAGACAGACCATGGGGGGCCATGGATGCCCCACTGATATTTCAACTTGAAACATTAAGCTATGAGGAGCTGGCAAAGGTTTTCCAGGTCTGTTATGGGTTGAATTGTGTCTCTCCAAAGATATAAAGTCGTAACCTCGGTACCCGTGAAGTTGACCTTATTTGGAAGAAAGGTCATCGCAGATGTAATTGGTTATGGTAAGATGAGGTCGTATTGGGGCAGGGTGGCCCCTAAGCCAATAGGCCTCAAAAGAGAACCGACAGGCACAGAGGGAACACCATGGGACAACGGAAGCAGACACGACAGTTATGTAGCCATGAGCCAAGGGACACCCAAGATGGTCCACATTCCCAAGAGCTGCGAGACGCAGGGCCTCTTACACATAAACCTCTGATACCTCGAGTTTGGACTTCCGGCCTCCACAACTGTGAGGCAACACATTCCAGCTATTTTAAGCCCCTCGGTCTGTGATGCTTTGTCACGGCAGCTCTAGGAAAGTAATTCAAGGTCCTTTCTCTGCCCCCGCTTGCCTGGCAGCCCGCCACCTAGCCTGGCCTGGGAGGTACACCCTGGCTCCCACCTCACCTCACCTCACCTCACCCACGGCCCTTCCTACCCATGCTTCAAGGACGGACTCAAAGCCTACCTTGTCACTGCCCCCTCCAGAAAGCAGCAGTGTCACATGTCCCTAGCTGGGCCTGCATGTACCTGAAGAACCCACAAGAGCAGCCCAAGAGCCACTCGGTCTTCAGGGGACCGCTGCCGCGTCGGGGAGGGTGTTGATACTCCATAAGCAGCACCCATCGCCTTTCCATCTCCACCTTAACCTCCCGCACCTGCCACAGGGCATTACATGACCTGCCTCAGGCCTGAGCTCTGGGAAGCTCTGATTGGACCAGAGGGATGTCCATGTTGAGTCATGAGGGTCTGGATTTCCCAAAGGGAATGATTAAGGCATCTTTCAGGCCCTGGAAATAGATATCAAAATGTACAGGTGCAGAGACAGCGGGAGGAGAAAAACAAAATTCATTGTTCCTTGTTCCTCACAAGGTCAGCTCCTCCAATAAGCCAGGTAGATGTACAGAGTGTTTTCTCCCTACTGACTTGACTATCTTCAGTTTTTGAAGAGTTGGCATTTTAAATGATCCTAATGACACCAAATCTATCTTAATTACAAACTTTCCTCTTGGGGGCAGAGAGTTGTCTATGGAAGAATTTTCTAAATTTCTTAATTAACCTGCAGTGACTTTATTTTGCCAAAGATGATGCTCTGAAACCATTAGGAGATATTCTCTACGATGCAATCTCAGAATACAGCC